TGCTGCTGTTGTTGTTGTTGTTGCCGTTGCTGGTTTTGCTGCTGTTGCTGTTGTTGCTTCTGTTGCTGTTGCTTCTGTTACTGTTGTTGCTGTTGCTGCTGTTGCTGTCGCTGTTTTTGTTGCTGTTGCCCTTGTTGCCCTTGTTGCTGCTGCTGCAGTTTTTATTGTTGTTGTTGCTGTTGTTATTGCTGGGCCATGATCAGTTTTGTTTGCATTCGTGGTAGCATGGGCATGAAAGGCTCTCGGCATGTTTGGTGCTGGCATGAAATGACACTTGAAGTACCCAGCCTCCACATGCGCGGCTGCGACTGATGATCGCCTCACACCGCATTGCTCGGTTGGCTCCAGGCGATAGCTGAAGCAGCATGATACTGCATGCCAAATGTTTACCATAGACTTAGCGCGAAGCTCTGCTGAAGCTTTACGTGCGCGAGACTCCGATATGGAAGTGTGTATCAGCCACAGCAGAATGAAAGATGTATGCTATCTCAATCTCCAAGATTAGGGTCAGAGTAGACTCGCGGGTGTGCCAGCGGCTGTTGCGATTTGCGCTCAGACATGCCGACGCCATCCAACACCAATAACAACCTGGACTTTGAGGAGAACAATGATATGTCAATTCAAATTATGAAGAGTGTGGCTATCGAGGTACCCCGCGAGGACAACCATGCCGATTATGACGGTCCTGGCACCTCACATGCAGAACTCCTGGCGGAAATCCGCCGGCTTTCTCTGCGGCTGGAAGCTGTCGAAGCACAACTGTCGCGTGAGTCTTCCGAGGATGAAGCCTATCAAGGAGTCTCTGCTGCCGTAAAGGAACCGAAATGTTGTTTCCCTAATGTAGGTACAGAGTGAATAACAATGAGGTAACTATCACTTAAAGGTCCTCAACACCAACTCAGGAGTGGACTATACCAAAGCCGTTGAGGTGGAGCCAACCGTGGACTCAAGAAGGATGTCTGGAAGGTCATCCCTGGACTCCACGCCCACGAGGGACAAAGAGATGAATGGCGTAGATGGCAGCTTTGTCAGGAAGCCCAACAACAAGAAGAAAGAGAAAACCACTCCGGTACGTTTCGAAGCTAGCGCTTGGAACATTCCGCTTGTGATTGGGCTGGCCGATGTGGGATGGATGGATACCTGCTCAGCCGCCTTCATCGTCCTGGTGAACCTGGGGATGCAGACAGCCTTCTCAGGCATTTTGCTCTCTGAGCCTTTCATGGGAGAGAGCTTCGACTCGAACGTGGAGAGTGCAAGGATATGGCGAAGGAGACTGGTGTTCATGTGTGCAGTTCCTTCAGAGAGCACCTGTAAGTTGGGTTCTTTGGGGTTGGCCAAGTGCTAGCTCAAAGCTGGACATGACACCCTCAGTCTAGTGAGATTGTGAGCTCTTTATGTCAGGAGTGTCGCGCATGACGATGCCTACATCGATCTGTCAGGTGGGACAGAGGTGTTTAATACATGTAATCTGAAACCAAGCCCCAACCCCCAGTGAATTGGAAGCGTGATCCGCGTCTCGGGCAGGCACAAGTCTGGTTTCTCGAGTGTGCGCTATGGACGGCGCACTGATCCTGTCAAACGAGCAGGCAGCCTGGGCTTGCAGTGGGCTTGCAGAGCTTTGTTGGACTGACGGTGTTTCTTAGCATCGCTGTGGAGCTTGTGCGGAAAATAAACGGAGATCATTCTGCGGAATCTTGGGGGATTGAAGTGCGTTTTGGTGTTGGCTGTGTGGCAGGCAGCTCTCGTGAAGCAGATCAATGCCTTTTTGGGCATCAACAAAGCAGACCCTCTGACGCCACAGCTCTTCCAACCAGGCGTTCTGCTATGTATCCTTTGCATTCTTTTGTGGACGTTGTGCGTGTACAAGGACTTGCACTGGGCAGATTAGCTAACAAAACACCAGGGCCTTGAAAAAAAGCCAATGTCGTATGTGAAATAGGTGCTTGCAACATGTGTCCTGCAAGTCTGCCTGCAGGAGATTCGTGGTGTTTGGCTGTCTTTGGAAGCCACAATGCAGATTCCGCGGGCACGCGGCACATCATTTCAGAACTATGCGTTCAGCCAAATCTCATACGGTCGGTACTGCTTGCTCCTGTGGACCTATGCAGCTCGGGCAGCCATCGCAGGATGGCTCTTGGTAGCTGGTGTCCTGTGGCTCGCCCGCACCACTTCAATCACGGAACTCATGCTCAACGCAGTTGCGCTCAATGCCATTCTGGATGTTGACGAGTTCCTGTTTTCCTGCTTGACTCCCATCAAAATCCAGCATGTCATACAGACTCTAGATCCGATACAGGTCAAGTACAGCCGTCGACGCAGTCAATGCGAAACGGTTGCACATTTTACCTTTATCTCAGCTGTCGTGCTGCTGGCCTATTTCTTGTTGGTAGGCCCCTTGACTGACACGATGCTAGAGGTCAAGAGAGAGCTGTGTGGCGGCAACCAGTCCTTCGTAGTGACCTACAATCGAGATACGCAGTTGACATATGGGCTTGTGACAAACAAAGCAGCGGCAAGGAACGACGGCCAGCTTTCGACCAGCGAGCTTGCCGTGAAGAGGCACATTGACATCCGAGGAGAGATGACGCCGGGGGAAGTCTCAGACTACATCCTCTTCGCCCCCAGTCGCCGGAGCTTCGAAGAAGACCGAACACGCAGTATGAGTGGGGAGGCGTCAAACTGGCCCTTCTGCATTGAAACAAAGCTGCTGACGGAGGGGGCCTTGTTGAACGGGGATGCCAATCTGCAGCCTGCCGCAGAAGTGATGCTACGAAATGCTGGCTTGGCACTGGGTTATGACTTGGTGTCAGACTGTGCCCAGCTCAGCCACATGTGTGACAGGCCCAACGCCGGCTTGCTACGGCTGGTCTGCGGTGAGACATGTGGATGCACCGATGCAGTTTCTTCACCTTTCTACAAGGTGCCTGCGCAAGGGTGCAGTCAGGCATGTTTGCAAGATGCAGAGGAAAAGCTTGCGAACCTCACATGTGAGAACAATGAGACAGGCAGAAATTGGGACACCTTCTGGAACACGTACGAAACCGCCCTGACAGGATACTATGGAGAAGAAGTGACGCAGACATCACTTTGGTACATGGTGAATGCTACCGTCCAGGGTATGCTGTCTCATGGTTGTGGCTATCTTGAGGTGGAGCCCCAGGACTTTGTGACCGGGGTAAATTGGTGTGAGGGAACCTTGGCCTGACTTCACTGGCTTGCTGTTAAGGAAAAGATAGTTCAGGCTATCATAATGGGGATAGTATTTTATACATACCGTAAATAATGAGGTTTCCCTTTTTAAGTTCCACAATGCCATAAGCGTCTCATGCCTAATTAGCCCGTTGTTTTAGCTGCTCGATGTTCCGTGCCTTGCTGAGGAATGCCAGACTTGTTTAAGCCCCTGGCCCAGATTTGTCCGCAGACATGCGGCTGTGATGGTTTTGCTGCAGAAGAGTTGCCCAGCTATTGCCCACCAAGATGTGGCGCCTGAAGTAGCGTCACAAAGTGGCCCCAGCCCGCCCCAAGTTCTTGGGGTCCAGTAAGTTTGACCCGATACCAGCGCTTGAACGACACAAGCAGTTCAAATTGCGTACGCTGACTGAGAAGTTTCGCGGAAAAGCCCAAGAAGTTGTGTTTCATACAGCGTTCTCCATTTTGGGTTATCTATCCTTGTTCCATTTTATGAGTCCAGTATATGGGTTGGGACCACGGCGCCGGTGTCTCTAAGCCAAGACATTCCCGGCTAGCCTTGAACACAATACATCCGTAGTTCCGTTTGTGAGTTTCCGGAAAGGGACGGTTTAGACAGATGGACCTGCAAACGGAAGGGTCATACGGGATGTACTGGTTTAGGGTTCACTTTGTGGTATCCCTCTCAGTCTTGGAGACTCGCACATACTCATTCTTCATTTTCCAGAACACATACTCATTCTTCATTTTCCAGAACACCCATTTCGCAGGCTGCTAGGAGGATTGGCCGGCTTTGACAAAACTCCAAATGTGGGATAGGTAAACTGCCCAAAATAATTATGATGCTCAGATGCGGACAACCGACCAGCGGCCGGATTCCCCAGTCTGTCAATGAATATGAATTTCTGGATGTTGAGCTGTTTTTCAGAGCAAATCAGCTCGTTCAGCTCCACAGTCTGCTCCTCAGAGCCAGGACAATGTCTTGCTGAGCATGTTAAATAGATCCTGAGAGGTTGCAGTCGAGAGTTTCTTTCGATCTCCGGGTAAGCGGTGCGAAATCCGTGCGGGGAGCCATCGCCAAAGGCGTGAAATTTCAGGGAAAATCCGCTGGAGAATTCCAGTCCGAGAGTCTCCTATGCTACCAAGCACTTTTGCCCTACGCGCAAAATCCAATAGTTGCAGCGCGGCTGCTTTCAAGCTGCGTGCATGTAGCATGTTCCTCCACAACACCAATATACTCTCAATAGTCCATGCCAAAATGCAGGTGTTCGATAGACTTCTTTCCAGCTCACGGCAGGTGCACCAACATCGACGATTGCCGAGAAATTGGAGGACGTGCTTGCTAAATATGTTCTGCGAGCAAGCCTTGTAAGACATTTCCCCATGCCTGTCAATCAGGATCGCTATCTGCACATAAAAGTACTTCGTACTTCGGCATACTTCGCTATCTTTTGTCGGATTCTGAGACGGTCTCCTCTCCGGAAGGACGATCCCAGTCATGCTATGCATGACTGCGGGTTCTGCGATGTATCCATTTGTGGCTCCGCCTATGTTTTCGATGGTTAGGAGCAGCCGCCCTACCATTATCTCACTAGCAGGGCCCTGTAAAAGTGTGGAGCAAGTGGAATGGAATGCTTCTTAGTATTGCTATCATAAGCCTGAGCAAGCTCCTCTCAGATGGATTTGAGCTGTTTTGTTTTCGAGAAACGACTTGAAAGCCCTTTGCTCCAGAACGGCGCAGCGACGAGTTGGAGGCAGCCAAGGGAACCCTGGTCGATCTGGGCCAAGGTTTGCGCTATCGCGAGGCCATGGGAAGAATACCACTCTTCGTCCGACACTTGCTACAAGATTCTTTACAAACATCTGTTGCTGTACGCGTAGAAGGTTCAAGTCTGCTTAGCTCGTCAAGGCTTCAATGGTTGCCACTGTCGCGCTCTTCGTTTTAGAAGGGTGGCTTCTATAGTATTCGGACAGAAGAATCCAGAAGGCTGCAGTTGGGCTCGGGAGCCCTCGTCAGGCACGTATTGGCACTGGGGCTGAAGTGCGGGAGGGCAGCGTTGTGGAGATCACATTTGAAGTGCCTGGGGCCAGCAAAAGCCCAGAAAAAGAATGGGGAGCGCAAGGGTAGGTCTTTCCAAGCTGCAGACCCCTCTAAATCTCATCAAAAAGCACAGCTGCATGGCCGATAAACCAGATCCAGAGCTGGCTATCACTCTGGCTTCTTCCTGATCCAGTCCTGTCTATGCGTATACAGGGCAGCATGGTGAGGAAAAAACGAGTATCATCGTCACCTCTACATACACCTCACGGAGCATCAGTGGCATGTCGTAGCTTCCGAGCATGTGGGGTGCTAGGTCCTACACACGAACCCGTACCCTAAGAAGCCCGGAGCCCCTAAAGCCTGCAAACCTGCGCAAGGACCCCTTGGGATGATGGAAAACAAACTGGAAACTACTATATAGCATATTGGGGTTATATAGGGACAATGGAAAATGAGATGGACACTACTACATAGTATATTGGGCTATATAGGGATAATGGAAAATAAGATGGAACCTACTGCATAGTATATTGGGGGTTATACAGGGATAATGGAAAATAGAATGGAAACTACTACAGTATATTGGGGTCCGCCCGAAAATGGACCTAAGGTGCGTGCCACAGTTGGGGATTACATCTACAGCTATGGCCGCGGGCGGCCGGACATGCCGAAGAGCGACTTCGGGGACTGGGCGTGGGGAGTCAGAGGTCTAGGGTAGCTTGATATCACACACACATATAGATATCTCTATATATATATGTGTGCTACCAAATATATATATATATACACATATGTTGCGGCAGATAGGCAACTGGGTTGGTATAGTTAGTATGGGTATACGTTTCAGGTGTCAGGGATTTCTCCATACAGGGCTAGCTGTAGGAACGCAAAAGCATCAGACGACGAGGATTACGCGGGGATCTCTAAGGCAAACGCTGCATAGAATCTGGACATGTACTTGTGATGTGCCCTTGTAGTTTCACACATGTTTCGGGCTAGTGTGCATCAAACTTACCTCCCCGAAATAGTCTGTAGCCGCATCCAAGCAGGAGACCTATCGAGCTCAGCTTGGACAAAGAGCCGTACCTTTGGGCGTCGAGCGAGCCATGTGCCCATCTCGGTACAGGCGCATGTTCTGGCAGCGTCGCGCATCGTAGCATAATCTCTTGAACAGTTCAGAGCCATTCTAAATCCGAGCGGACAGGCAACGAGGCAAGGCCCCAAAAGCTGTTGGCAGAGCATGGTATTTGTTCAGCAGGGAGCCCCCTTTTTGATTGATATTGGTATACGTTAGGATGGTTTGTTTTGTGACGTAGCAACGGGGGCCTCTAACGCGAGTCTACGATTTTAGAAGAAGTGTTGGATATCAAAGAAGAGTGAGCACATTGTCCATCAATCTCTTGAGCTCCCATGATCTTCTCCAGTTAGGGAGAGGCTGTTGATGGAAGGCGTTTGTGAACGAATGCAGGGCTCAGCAGGGTTCAAAAAGAGCGAACTTGAGCGGTGGTGCCCCTTTGCCGGATGATTTTATACTTACTAAGACCCAGCATTGCCATTTGTTTAGCAAGGGCTGTTACACCGTGGGCCCGCCTAAGCTGGCAAGCAGCGAGGCATGAGACAGTGTTTACATGATAGCGGCGGGGTTTGGCTAACAGCCTTATGCGCACAAGCCGCGCCCATGTCCTTCGCGCAAGCCTTAGCCCAGCAGACTGCTGATGCGCGCTCACAGCGCCACGGAGAGGCATGGCCCTCGCTTAGGACATGCTCGTGTCGCAGCTATCTATATAAAGGAGTGGTGCTGGCGAAGCTAATGGAATTGGAATCCGGGCTTTGAGCATCGGTAGATTCGACGGCTGAGGGGAAGCATTGCCAATTTCAAAGGTCTGCATTGGAACCATGCCAAAGTCCCGTGGAGTCTGCATCTACAGGGATAATGGAAAAGAACATGGAAACTATTATATACTATATTGGCATTATATAGGGATAATGAAAAGAACATGGAAACTACTCTATAGTATACACTCTTAGGGCATTTTAGGCTAGTTAGGGTTATTGGTGTTGGTGAGACCCACCGGGAGAATGCGCCACCATATTGGCTATGGGGATGGTGACGCCAACATGCCCCAACATGCCCTGAAGGTGGTCGCGCTAGTACACTCTAAAGTGAATTCCCGCCCTAAACCCAAAACCCTAGTTGAAAGGTTTGAACCCTGGCATCTCATGGACAGCATCAATCTTCAATAGGACAAGGATTGGTAATCTAGAGAGACCCGAAACCCAGCTGCCTGCCCCTGAAGAGTATAATCCTGTAAATGGCAGAAGTTCTGTAGAGGTACGATGAGTTCCCAGACCTCAGACCCTGAACCGGAAGTCCTTCGAAACCACAACTCTAAGCCCCGAATGCCTGTTCACACACAGTAGCTGCAAGGCCACTGACAAGCTGAATCGTTGGCTAGCGGTCCAGGTGCGGAGGCATCCAGATCGTGGATGGTAACACCTTTCTGTTGTTTTTTGTTTCGAAATCATGGGTCAAAATTCGGGGATGCCTGAACAAGGACTGCATGAATTTGAGAACCTTCTCAAAAGAATCAATGCGAAAGCAGCAAAATTCACGGAACCATGTACTGGTTGGGGCTACTCATACCTCGGGTTACAGGACATTTTTATTAGGGGGGGGTAAGATTTGGCTATCTGACAGCTGCGCCTCGAAAGAGGCTTCAAATACATTCCAGATGTTGATTCGAAAGACGCCGGAGAAGGAAGACCTGCATTCGACACATCCACACCATTCTGGTGGTTAAGGGAGAGTGGGCGAGTGCCCCTACGATGGTCCCTGTATTCACTCCCTTACTTCACCGTAATATTGCACCAGTAAAACTCCTAGGTTCCAGCAGATTTGCCACACTGCCAGCAAGAACGGGGCAGACAACGCCCGCTACGTCATCAGCGAGGCAGGATGGAACTGCACTTGAGAGTCAAGGGTAAAGATGATCTACTCGGAAAGTGGGCTTATACAGCCCGTGTGAGTGTGCATATGTATATACATGTCATACACGTGGAGGTGCTTGCGTGTCTTCTAGCTTGTAGCCATGTTGTACCCAGAAGGTGATAGCTAACCTGCCTGCTCCTAGTTGGGGCATGGGTTGAACACGTCCGCAGCTCCCCAGATGCTCTTTTAGAAATTCTCTCTGTTCCACGACAACATATGGACCCGGGCACGGTAGGAGTGAGAGCGCAGGGTGCAACAACAAAATGAGCCATCAAAAGCACTCACAACACAAAGTGTGGTCCCATCCTTAGTGGGTCCTGCTCTCACGTTACCTCAAACTCTTGTTCAATGAGCTTTCAACACCTGCTTGCAGTCCTCATGGAAGCCTCCTGAACACATTGTCTTATGCAAATCGACATTCTTGAGGTTATCTGGCGCTAGGCCCTTAATTCGCTCACCCTACTGTTGATGGAGGAAATCTTGCACCACTTAACGTCCTTAAACTCCTAGGAATTACAATAGTTTAGGGCCCCTAGGTGGTGCAAGATTTCATCCATCAACAGTAGCTCCCCTTCCAGATCACAGTTCAGGTCGACTTTCAAGGCTTCAGCCTCCAAGAAATTGGCGACAAGCTGAAGCACAAGCTGAGTAGCTCCTAGACTCGTCAGAAGGTGTAGTGTAGAGGGTTTAAAGGTTCAGGTGTAGGTGTCTCGGGGATTAGGTTTAGGGCTAATGGTTGCAGGGTTGCGGTTTGTGTAGAGTGTCCCCAAAAAGGACCTGACCCTCCATCGTCTAGCTGAAGTCGCGGATTTAGCGGGTTTTCATGGGTTCGTGGCTGATTGGCAATTGACCTAAGCAGCCAAGCAACTGTCCGAGGCAATTACAGTAAGTGGCAGGTAGTTTAGGAGCCCCAGCAGGGGTAAAAGGGGCTGCTTCGCTTTAAAAGTTTGTGTGCCCGGCTCGACTGGAAGCATGTTGCGGGTGCCCCGTCTTATGCTCACATACACTTGTCTAGGCCTTGCTTGCTTCTTCATCCCATGGGCTGAAGTACGATGCACCAAAACCATGCGGCTTTGGGAAGGTGCTTCGGGATTAGGGTCTACCCGGACCCTGGATGTCTTACCTTTTTGGGGATATACTCTATACATTTGTAGGACAGAACCCCAAAAAGGAAGGACATCCAGGGTCCAGGTAGGGTCTATATGGTGGGGTGTAAGGATTGGCCAGTTGAGATGCAGCTTTTGTAGCTGTTGCTTGGAGCATCATTCTGCGGGGACCTACATAGTCCAACATGGCCTTGTAGGGAATCGAAGAGAAGGTTGCGGATTGTTCATGATTCTGTATCGGATGAAGGTGCTTGTTTTGCTCATAGCCCGGTAGGTCCACCGTTGGCTACGGTCTCTTCACTGTACATGTCCTCAACATACCGTTGACCTTGTGACAGGAACCTTCCAGCTCAATTCCACGCGCAATTTCTGATGTGTTTACAGTGAACTCCCTCACATCACTCGCCCAGAATTTCCTTCAGCTCCACGTGGACTCCTACAGCAGCCACCGCTACAACCTCTTCCTTTTCTTAAGTAGAACCCATTAACTTGTAGGCAAAAGGTGTTACAGATAACCCTGAATACCACAACCCTAAACCCCAATAAAGTAGTTACAATATTGTTTTCCATTATCCCTGTATAACCCCCCTATATAACCCCAATATAACCCCAACATAACCCCAACATAACCCCAATATAACCCCAATATAACCCCCATAATAGCCCCCAATATAACCCCAATATAACCCCAATATAACCCCCATAATAGCCCCCTATATAACCCCAAAATAACCCCAACATAACCCCAACATAATCCCTGTATAACCCCCCTATATAACCCCAATATAACAGCAACTGAAGCCTCCTGAAGTTTGGCCTCAGCTGAGGCCTGGGCTTTGCAGAGCTCACGGTGCTTTGCGCCGCTTCGGTCAGGTTGATTCAGGTCTTCCTGTTATGTAGGGTTTAGGGTTTAGGGTTTAGGGTCTAGGGTTTAGGGTTTAGGGTATGTACTGGGTATACTTTCGGGGTATACATCGCGGCCAGGTTTGCGGTAGATGATACCAAAACAAGACGGCCACCCTGAAGAAGCTGAAGCGTTTGAAGCGGGATCCGTTTCCAGAAGCATGTTGAGTCTGTGAGGCCTTGTTCATTGTACAGGGGTAGGCTCTGCTCTCATCTGTTCTGCTGGAGATCCTCAACGGTCTGTTCACCATTTCCAGGCAAAGCAGGAGGTTCATGTTCTGGGGTGGAGACGGTCAAAGGAGGAACAATGTCATCTTTCTCCAGGCTCAGGCTGCCATAGGCGGAGCTCACAGCAAGAACTGTACGTGCAGCAAATCAAAACGGGAGATAAAGGAAAGTTCAACACAGTGCTGTACGTGGCCACTTCGGGTAGCTCCACATCCATCGAGGCATGCGCTACAGATGCCAGTGTATCGCCTTGCACAACCGAGTCCATGGGCGTCATGAACTTGGACGCTTCCTGGGCTGGTATCAAGCCGACACCAGAGGTGCGGTCACCAGAGCTACCTGCGTGCCTAGGCTTTCGTCAGTTCATTGAAGTTCAGCGATATGCCGCTTGATGTGGCTGGAGTTCATATGTGTACTTCAGAGGGTTGAGATTCTTGCGAGCTGGGGCTCGAACTCAGGTCTGTGAATCTCTTTTCTGCAAGACTTGGTGTCTTCAAGCGACGGAGGGGATGTGGATGACCAGCGGTGTCGTGCTTAGATAAGTCGGCTCTCGTTGTTTTGAAGATATCGCTTGTGTTTGCCAGCTTTATCCTAACACAGCAATGCACTCTTCAGGCAAGGAATCAGCCGTTCTTCAGGACACCCACGGCTGCGCTTCAGGGTAAGACCTTTTCTATTCATAGAATAAGATATTTTCGAACCTTCACATAGGGCCCCTATCAGAAAGACGCTCTCCTTGCCGGTGACGTGCCAAAGCTCAGGAAGAGAAAGAAGCCCTCCGGAGGAATCTGCAGAACCTGCAAGATCTGCGAGGAAGCGCTATGTCAGTTGGTATGTCTAAGGTTGAGTTCCCTGCCCTGCACCCTACAGGAGACCTCTGTGATCTCCTTGTGATCAAATGTCCTACGGGTGCCCAAGAATATATACTCCTATTTTCAGTTATCCCCTGTGCAGCATGCACAAGCTAGCAGTCAATGTTGAAGATATGAGAATCCCCAAGGCAGCATGGGGGCTCAGCTTTTATTGATTCGGGGGAGATTTTTTCCGAGCTCTTGATTTGTTCAAGCTATGTGTCTCACAAGAGCGGTTGTCTTCCACACGGGTTGTTCTCAAAATGGTTACAGAGAAGATCACGGCACCGAATATTGGTGGGTACCACACGAGGACCCTACTTTTGGGAACTCAGCACATTCAGCGTGGTAGATCCCGCCGAATCTATGTAGCTGGCTAAGGCTGCTGGCTCACCCTTAAAAAAAACATAGTAATAGCCTCAGAGTAACAGTAATAGTCATAGTACCACGCAAAAATCGCAGGATTTCCATGATAGGAATCGCACTTAATTATCGTTTTGAGCAGCCTCAATGTTTCCATAAGGCCCACTGCCCCAACCCTAAACCCAAAGCCCTCCCCCTCACAACGAGACCATAAACACACCCACAGGAGACGGAGCCCATGGTGGTGTTGTCGCCTTGTGGCCATGTGCTGTGTGCAGCTTGGCTGCCTTAGGGGTTTAGGGTTTAGCGACTGTATTCCAGTCTCGCTCTTCCGAGCCTCCATCAGCATATGATCTTTTGTCTGAACTCCTTACAGGGGTTATAAAGGGAACTATAGGGGCTATTAAGGGGCCACCAGAAGTTGAGACTATAGCTCATACAATGAATGGCACCACCATCATAGAAGCAAGGCCTCCTGATTCGTGCAGGTTCTGTGATGCTAAGATCACCCAGCACTGATATTTTGGAGCCGTCTGCGTGATCACACGGAGTCATATTTAGGGTTTGTGGTTCGAGCTTCATGTGTGGGATGTGCTAGATGCAACATGGTGGTTTCCCAAAATAGGGGGACCCCAATATAGACCCCCAAATACTATAATCCTTATTATTAGGACCCCCAAAATGGTACCCCTAATTTTGGGATACCCCCACATAGAGGGGCAGCATTTGCAGGTCTAGGACAGATTTGCCGTGCGAACCATCCCCTCAGCCTGACCTAGCGGAACGCTTTTGAGAGACCATTGGGGCCATAGTCTAAACTCCTTAAAGGGGGCTTATATAGGGGATTATATTGGGGATTACTATAGGGGTTATTAAGGGGGATACTAGGAGTTTAGACTATAGCTCATTTCAGAAAGCAAAGCCTCAACTGTAAGACCCAACACGCTAAAGGGGCAGCTTTGAACGTCAAGGCGTCTGTACGAAGTACTCATAGTGGGGGCTCCAATGCTTTGGGAGGTTGCTGTAGACATGCCAGCAAAAGGGACTACTATGACTTCATAATCTGTAGTCGTCGTGTAGTTCTACTAATTCTAGTACCATCGCCACAGTTCTGCGTTCAAACTTCATCATCCTTTCACGGACTCCTTACGCAACCCCTGCAGACTACGCAGCACTTGAATGACAGTACAAGATGTGCCCTCATATTCCTTGTAGAGCTTCAGTTCATCTGCCAGAAAACAGGGCCTGAAGTAACCCTTTTGGTGGCCCAGGAAGCCTGCAACCTCAGCCGGGATGACCGATGTCCTTTCTGCCGTCGTCCCGTCTGCTGTGCAACGGATGGCCTTTTCCTTGACTGACTGAGAGGCATTAGCCTCACGCGGGCGGGTATTTCTCAAGTTTCATTGGGGAGTGCAAATGTAATAGGCATACTATCTATCTAAGGTGTATGTAAGGTCGTTAACTTACTTAACTTTGAGAAATGCCCACTTCACGACCAAAATCCCAAATGTTCTAAGCTGGAAACCTGAAGAATGGGAAGTGTCTCCCTAGGCTCCTCCAAGGATGATGGTTTCATAGCCTGCTAGACACGATTCCCGTTAGTCAGGTTTCTACAGCAGCGGAGTAATATCTTGAGTACAGGGTTGACGGAATTCAGAGGGTGCATTGTAAGGTTGCAGGGCCCTTTGCAGCTTATTGCAGAAGTGTGCAGGCGGAGGGTTTCAGGTTCAGGGCTGATCACCTTTTCTATCAGTTTGCTGCTTGAGAGGCCGAGGGTCGAGTTTGAGAGTTTGCAGGGCAAACTTCGCTTGAGGAAAGCCAGGGATGTCGAGACCAAGATCCCGCAGGCGTTCAAGTGCTGGGCCCAAGGATCTCAGGGTCACCCAATGCCCCTCCCAGTTTCCTACATTTCCAAGCCCAGCACCCTAAACCCGACCCAGTCTGAGGGGACCAATTCTTCAAGGCATCGTTCAGGTGCGCTCTCCTCCCAACCTTGCTGCTTCTCCGAGGCTTACTGTAGCAGTCGGAGCTTCACAAACTTGAGGAAAAGAGATTCAGTCGTCTGAAGCCATGGCCATGTCTTAAAGATTTCAAGAGAGGACAGAATTTTGTGAGCACTTCTGGTATAGCATGGTTGGATTCTGTAAGACGAGACCACATGATATGAGTGGCTCAACTATGGGCCTTTTTGAGGGACCCACGTGAAGAGGACCGTTTGATTCGGGGATGTAGGGCCCCTCACCCATATTCCAGCACCTAAACCCCAAACCCTAAACCCAAAGGTAGTTTCCATTTTCTTTTCCATTATCCCAATATAACCCCTATAGTCTACCCTATTATACTATAGTAGTTTCCGTCTTCTTTTCCATTATCCCTATATACTTCAGCAGATGGAACATAATTTGCCCTAAGCCCTAAAGTAGTGTCCATTTTATTTCCATTATTCCAATATAACCCCTACATAACCCAATATGAGCCCTAAGTCCTAGGAACATAATTTGCCGGCCTCGGAGGTGGGTTGGAAGGAGGTTTCATTGCTTCATGTTGCCATTCAGCATGCCAATCATCTGTTTGGTTGTTTGTACATAGCAAGCTACGGATGTTCCGAGGATTGCGAGGAAGCCTGCAAGCAATAGAAGCTGGCCAGTACTAGTATTACTACTACTACTACTACTACTACTACTACTAGTACTACTACTACTACTATTATTATTATGACAGATTCCTGGTGCGCCGGTGCAGAGGAGGTCTCATCAAGTGGCAGAGGTGAATGGGATTAATCTTGACCATGGAACTGCTAACTTTGGGTGCCGGTTGTATTCATGATTTCCAGGGCACTTCGTACCATCAGCGATCCGCAAACATCTCGTGAGCAACGTGCATGACCCACGCGACAAAGAGACGCATGGGTGGTGACCCAAAATTGAGATCCCTTTTTGGAAGGGCCCGCATTGTCATCTTAATTGACTGCTAAGACTAGAATGTGCTGCACGAGATCGGAACCCACCCCAAAAAGGGAACATGATTTCGGGACACTGCAGCATGAATTTGAGACGTTCATTTGAAGGGCCAGGCGTTCGCAGGGCTCCTGCCTGAAGGGCTGCCTGCTATCCCGCGAAGGGAACATGACGTGTCTGGGCCACCTATGGAAGCATGAGTGTACAAAAAGAACAACTTTGCAGGTCCTCCAAGGTCCTGCGAAGTTGGGTGCTACTCGTACTGCTTTGGGGAACCCTTTCTATCTAAGGGTGCGTCATCTCAAGAACAGTCCTTTTGCATGTCCAATTTTTTGCAATACAGGTGTCAACAGTCACATTGAGGTACAGTGCCTCTATGCCTGAAAGGACCAAAGCACTCTAAACCCTGAACCCTAGAAGGGTCCAAGGCAGAAGAGGCGGAAAACCAAAGAGGCCTTCTGTTGGAAGGCTTCTTACGATTATCTTCAGAATCCCAAGAGGATCTTCTCGCTCAAAGGACCTGAGCGCTCCGGGCACTTTCTTCAAACACGAATACTCACCATTTTGCTGAGAGGCCTCAAGTTCATCTAAGCATGCGAGTTGCAAGTTGGAAGGAAATTGCAGGCATAGCAAAGCCCCAAGCGTTCATCCAGACGGCGCGCATCCACAAATAGCCAAGTAAAGTTTGAGCCCTTCTCGCAGCAAAGTAGCTGGCTTTCGACGCGTACAAGGAAGCATGCTCAAGGGTCCCCACTGCAACTTCCAAAGATCTTCCCCATGCTACACATTCTATAGATGTGCAATCTTTCAAGACTCTCTACCACACAGCCAAGTGAACCAATGCTCCTGCCAAGTGCCTTAGTCAGAAATGGAGCTGCAGCTCACCAACTTCCGAACTCGCTAAGGTTCGGAATGCGGCAGGGTGGCATCCGCACAGTCTGGGGCCCCGGATCCTGTCATGTGAGCATCCCTGAGCCTAGTGACCATGTGCAGCGTGATCATGCCAATGGGCGTCTACTGTATGGCACGGTGCATGGCAAACATCATCATGACCATCTTATCAGGCATCCTCACGGGAGCACCACACTTTGTTGTATGTCCCACCTGCCAACGTTTCAGATGGTGTCATGACATTGTTGGCTGTTGCTCGCTGTTTAAGCTTAGCATGACAG